TCCCCCCCGGGGTAAGTAGCCCCAGCTTCTGGACCCCTCCCTCCTGACTAACCCCTCTGAGAACATGCAGCCACCACTGACCGAGACTCCCACCCTCTCACCGTGAAGAGCTCCATCAAATTAACCTCCAGCCCTGACAATGACCCCACACCCACCTGCCCAGGACTTGCCCTGCCCTCACTAACCCCCTGGAACTAACCCCAGCCATTCCCACCATGTGCCTGACCTCCCTCCCTGCCCTCACGACTGACCCCCCCATCCTCACCCCCATTGACATCTCTCTCCCCGCCTTCCCTTTTGGTTTTTTAAAAACTCAATCAAGAAAATAGGGTACTTACACAGGACACTCGTCAGAGTGCAAGGTGGGATGAAAACTTGTGAATTGGCCAGCTTACAAAGCACCCACCTGTCCCCCACGCAGGGAATTCAATATTGAACAAAATCAACACTCCCTGCACCCCCCCTCCCCCTCCCCCGGCCCCCAGGAGCTTTCAGTTTGGTGGGAGAGGCACACTATTTGAGGCAATATATGCAGTGTATTCAGTCATGGAGGTAGCACAGGGTCATGCAGTTAGAGGAACATGCAAAAGTCCTGGGGTAGGAAGAAGCGACAGGAAAGGCTTTCTGAAGGAGTTGATAACTGATAGGGTTGTCCTGACCACCAGCAGGGAAGTGATCCCATTAGACAGTAGTGACCACAGCGACCAGCACAAGCAAAGCCAGGAGACTGGGGACTGGTAGACAGCCGTGAGGCAGGAAAGCACCGCTGGGCTGAGGGGCTGGGACCTTGTCCAGGGACCTGCGGAGAGGTCAGCTCTGGGCCCTTGGGGATGGACTGGAAGGGGAGACTGGAGGTCAGGAGGCCTGGTAGGAGGCTGGGACAAGGGTCCAGGGAACAAGGCCAGAGCCTGGGTCAGGGCTCTGGGAATGGAGAGGAGAGAAGGCGTCAGGGACAGGGCTGGGGACTGGCCCTGGGGAGGTGAGAGGGGTGGAGCGAAAAGAAAGTTGTTAGCCAATGAATCATTCAGCAAATATAACCAAGCACCCACCACATGCCAGGAATTTAACATGTATTCTGTAATCCTCAGTTAGCTGTAACCCTAGCTAACCCCTAGCTCCATTCATCCATCCATTCATTCAGCAACTAATTTTTGAAGACACAGTTCCAGGCCCTGGAAATTTGGCATTGCACAAAGCAAGAATCTGCCATCACAGAGTTTACACTCTAGAGTAGGGGTCGGCGCACTGTGGGCCAAATCTGTCAGCTAGCTGTCTTGTAAATAAACCTTTATTGGAACCTAGCCACTATCATACTACAACAGTAGAGTGGAATAGTTGTGACAGAGACCGTGTGGCCCACAGAGCCGAAAATATTTACTATCTGGCCCTTTATAGGACAAGTTTCACACTCCCTGATTGGAGAAGCAGAAAATAAACAAGTAAAAAAAAAAAATACTCTGGCCACTTCAGATAAGAGGGTCTGCAGAAGACCTTTTTGAGGAGGTGACATGAGATGTGAAAGGTAAAAAAGGCCAGCCAGACAAAAGGAACAGCAAGTGCAAAGGCCCTGAGGTACTGAGGTAGGATGAGCTTGGTTTATTAAAGGAATAGCCATGAGGGAAGTGTGGCTGGAGCTAAGCAGCCAAGGGTAGGGGGGTGCCAGACAATCTGTGCAGAATGATCAGAAGGGTATTTTTGGCCACGGTGAGAGGCTGGATTTGATTTTTAATGTGATGAGAAGCCACCTGGAGGAATTTGATACATCACTTACTCATTCAACAAACATTTGAGGACTCTTCCATAGAAATACAAAGATACATCCTAAATCTCTGCCCACGTCCCGAGGAGATGCTACAGGAGGACTTGGGGAGCCTTCAGGGACCATCTCATCTAAGCCCCTTGTTTCACAGAAGTTCAGGGAGGGCCATGACTGACCCCAGGCCACACAGCAGAGGGGGGCAAGAACCCAGGCTTCCGGGTCCACACAGAACCCCGAGGGGCTGGCTCTTGCTCCATCGCTCCACCTCTCCTTGTTGGAACCACCCCCCACATCATCATTTTCATCTCATTACCAGCCCCCCTGCCCCTGCCTCCATCTCACCCCTCTCCCTGCTTGCTCCCAGTCCTGTGACCACCCTTTGTCCTCCAACCCCAGGTCTGGATGGGCCCCTTGGAATTGAGGGGCAGAGGGAGCGGGGAGGATTTGGGAATGTGGGTGAGGGAGGAGTCTGGGTGGGGTGGGGGGTTGAGGTCTCTGCTTCTCTTGCCTCTGATGCCAAAATCCATTCATTGAACTCAAATAATGGCTGGAGCTGATGGGGCTGACTGAATCCTGGGGTCCCCCCCCCCCCCCCCCCCCCCCCCCTCCTCCTTCCTCCATGACCCTCCCTCCTCTATTGCCACCCACTTCCCTCCTCCTAAGACCCTTCCTCCTGGCTTGTCCCCCACCTGCCCCATGAGTTCTCCCTTCTCCATCTTTCCTCACCAACCACGTGAGTCCCACGCCTGACACATGTTCCCCCTTCCTCCCCAGCCCTCTCCCTCCTCCCTTCCTTCATCCTCCCCCCCAACCCCAGCCACCTCGGAAGCTCCTTCCATATTTGATGTCTCTGGCCGCTGCCCCATTTCACTGCTCCCCTCCCCCGGAAAACACCAGAGAGGAAGAAGAGATCCCGGCGTTTCTCCAACCCCCAACAGTGAGGCTGTGTTGGGGGGTTCTCCCTGACCACCCCCACCCCTCCATGACTCTGTGTATTTCTGTCCCCAGCTCTTGTCACCGCCTGAGACCTCGTGAGACCCTCGGTCCCCCCTTGCCCCTTCCCCCCAGGTTAGCATTGGGGAATGGCTGGGAAGGGGTGTCCCCAAGATAGTGGGCTTCCAACACCCCCAGGCTCTTTCTCCTGTGGTCAAGACGTCCTCGTCCAGACAGACCCCTTGGCATCGCTTAGGAAAGCCCCAGACACTGGCATAACTCTTAAGATATTCCCGAGCTATCAGGAAACCACACACATGCTCCTCGATCTTAGACTTCCCATCCGAAGGCTCCCATTGGAAAGATTCCTGACCCCTTAAAGGTACCCCGCTACAACCTTCAGGTGAGCCTTGCCCCTCAGACTGCTCTTGGAGCTATTCTCTGGCCCCCCAGCGGCACTGCTGATTTTTGCTCCGTCCACTCAGCCCTTCACAGCCCCCCTTTCCTCCTTTCTCGACATCTAGGTTAGCCCCCCATCTGCAGCCCTGTCAGCTCCCTACCAAGTTTTCCCCACGGCTGCTCCCCCTACATGCCTTCCACCCGAGCTCCCTCCCATGCCCCTGCTGCCACCATCTGCCTTGCTGCCCCCCACCTTTTTGCCTCAGATGAGGGGGTCAGTGGGGGAGGGGGNGGGCGGGATGGGGTGATCTAGTTATTCAGCAAATATAAGAATGCCAGCTAGGTGCCAGGCACTGTCCTAGGTGCTGGAAAGCAATGAGATTCCTGGAGGGGGGACGTGTGGGGATAGGGTGGGGGAGGCTCGGTGGGTGCCACCCTGTCTCCTAACCCTGAGTCTCTCCCCCCTCCCCATGTCTGAACCTTTCTCCTTGATGCGACTGACTGTCCGATTTGTTCACTTCTCTCTCCATCTCCTTGGTCCGCCTCTGTCCATTTCTCTGCCTCTTGCCTTTTGTTTTGTCTTGGTGTCTGACTGTTCTCTTTCTCTCCCACACCCTTCTCTCTCTCTCCTATCTCTGTCTCTTGCTTTTCCTGGCTCTGTCTCTTTCTCCATGTCCTATCCTTTCTGTTTGTTTCTTTCCTGCTTCCCTCCCTCTGTTTGGGGTCTGTCTGTTGGACCTCTCTTTGCACCCCTACTCCATGCTTCCTCCCCGTGTTTCTGCCCCCCCTCCCCCAGGTTACGAGAAATCCCGCAGCCTGAGCAGCATCGCGGGCCTCAGCGGGGTGTCCCTGCGCCTCGCGCCCCTTGCCACTCCCCCTGGCTCTCCCAGGGCCACCCGCCGTGCTCCCCCAACCCTGCCCTCCATCCTCTAGCGCTCCCCTCCCCCCCGTGGGGGGACTCGGGGGTGACAGGGAAGAAGGTCAAAGGAGCTGGGGGTGGGGGGTGGGGGAAAGGGTTTTTTAAAAAATCAAAAAGTCATTAATAATATGCAACGGAGACGACGACGCCAGCAGACACCCCCGGGCCCCTCACCCCCACCTGGGCCCCCAGGATGGAGGGGTAGGGTCCAAAGCCCTTCCCCCCAACTCTCTGCCCACCCCCAAATAAAGCCTTCTCAGGTCTCCATGAGCCATAGGACACCCCCCTCCCATCAAGTCGTGTAAATAAGTCCAAATTATGCCAATTACATTTGGGGTACCTCCCCCCTACTCTGCATGCCTCTCCCAATCTGACGGCCCCCCCACTTCACCTCAGCAATAAGCGCCAGGGGCTGCATGCCACGCGACTGAGGGAAGGGGCACTCTGGGAAGGGGCGGGGACCTCAACGGGGTTAGGCTGGCCTTTAAGCCACAGGAGGGTCTCCTAGCCTCCTACTCTTCACCCCAGGAGGGCAACCCATCACGCATTGATTTAAAAAAATAATAATTAGCGGTAATGCGGGGGAAGAAGGAACAGTCACCCAAGCCAAAAACCCGAGCCGATCTCAGATGGTAGGAGTGGTGGGGACTGCGGACAGGTGCTCCCTCAGCTTTTAGGAGGCTCCTTTAGGTGAATTGCACCCTTTTACCCCTCCTCCCCCCCATCTGCTCGCCTCTGTTCTTGCTGCATGGACTCAGACCTCCCATCCCAGAGCTCCTGGGATGGTCTGACCCTAGCACACAAAATTCCCCAACACCCACTCCAGATTCCCAGGACATGAGACCTGCACCCAGAATTTCCGACACTGACCGTGGCACCCCGCTTCCCCCAAATCTCCACATGCTCCAGGGACTTAACCTCTGCACACTGATGCCGCCTCTCAAGCCCCACCCCTACCCACTCCCTGGAGTAAATCCCAACATCTCTCAATCCTCCAAGACTTGACCCAGCCCTGCAGCTCACTTTTAGCCTTTGGGATGCTCCAAATCCTTCCCAGACATGGACACTTCCTGAATACCCCCAAATCCTCAGGCCTCAACTCCCCCAGAATCCCCAAATCTCTGACATCAGACATCCACCTCAGGTTCTCCTGCCGCTAGAATTTCCAAGATGGGCTCAACCTGTCTGTAATTCCAGGGAACCAGACCTTCCCAGGGCACCCCCTTTCTTATGCCCAACCCTGACCCCGCCAAGAGCCCCTTCCCTTAAATGGTGCCCAAAAGGTACCCTCTTCATGGACACCAGTGTTTCCCAGAGGGTCGTATTGTGCCCCTGGTGATGTGCTGAGATTGTAGGCAGTACAAGGACACTAATTTTTAAAGTTTTGTCTTTCACGGCTCTTCGCACCTAAGCCGGTAAGTCCAGATACTGCTGCTTGGCCAGGACACCGTTTATTTAGGTTAGAAGTGTCTCCATTTAAAGTAGAGGCTGTGCCCGAATAAAGGGACACTGGGAAACAATGACCTAACCACCTGGGCTGGGACTTCAGCCCGCCTTTCCCCGGCGTTCCAAGCCCCGCCGCGCTTGCGGGTGGGAAATCACTTTCATATCCCATCCTGGCTCAAGGATGCGCTACCTCCCCCAAGCCTGGAGACCGCACCGGTCCCAGAATCCTTAGAGGACCCCCCCTTTTGGAGCTGGGGGTCCACAGAATTAGTAACCGTCCTCCCTCTGCTCCCACAGCCTCAGGAACGCCCCCACCCCCACCCGAGGGTTGGGGGGGTGTCACCGAGCACGATTCTTGATGCAACGATTCCTATGCAAGGGGCATTTTGAGTCCCCCCCCCATCCTTCCCTCGGACCCTAAACCCTGGTGAATCAGGGGTGAGGGGTGGGGTGGGTTCTGTGGGGGCGGGGTGGGGTGGGGCAAAGGGCTAGGGGATCCAGGCACCAGGGTATGGGGGTGGGGATCGATTATATTGCCAAAGGGTTTAACTTCTTTAAAAAAATAAAAAAGCCCCTCTGATTTCCCTGACCCTCACGGAAGCCGAATGGTGCAGGGAAAGGGGGTGAGGATCTTTTCCAAAGGGTACAGACCTCTTCCCAACGTCTCCCCCCTGCTCGCCAGTCTGCCACACGTACCCAGCTTTTTAGTTCAGCTTTTAAAAATAACCACAATCATTATAAGCCTCTACAAAACGTGATTCTCATCCCCCAAATCAACACAAAGTGTGGGGATTCGAGGAGGGAGAGAGAGGGAGCTCTAGGGACGACTTTCAGGTCCCGCTCCCCTCCCTCCACTCCCCCAGCCGCCCGGGTGCCCGCAACTACACGCATGCGCTGCATGACGCGCTCCCCACACGCATGTAGTGCCCCCCTGCACTCCGGGACGCACGGACACGGGGCAGGGGGCAGGGCGATTGGGGAGGAATGAATGGTGGGGGTCTTCCTGAGCTCAGCGGCTCCCCCTCCCCAACACACATACACAGCAATAAGTTTCTCTCACTCAAATGTGGGCGGGGCGGGCCTGGCCTGTCGACGTGGGGGCGGGGGGAGTGACAAGGGGGCGCTCTCAGGGATGGGGGCGGGTGTCCGGAGTCAGTGTGGGGAGGGGAGGTCTGCAAATCGTCCAACTCTGGTGCTAACGGCGGGTCTTCTCAGCCCACCCCCAGGGCAGGGAGGGAGGGGTCGACACCGCCCCTCCCCCAAGCCTCCCCCACGCCCACCCTGGGTGCATGAACTGCCCAATGCAGAAGCTGCCGCATGTCACCCCCTCTCCCCAAAGAAACAGTGTCATGATCCCTTCCCACCCACCCTCTCATTCCCCACCAAAATTAAAGTTTCCTTTTCATTTAAAAGTTGCCTCCTGTTTGTCTGCTGGGAAGGTCTCCTTATTGAGGCAGGAGAGCTTTGGGGGTAGGCAGAGGGGTTGGATTAAAGTGGCAAGGGTGTGAGCATCCCCTTGATTTGGCGGTGAATGCCTGTCTATACCCCTAACTGGAAAGTCTGAGGGCACCTGGGTGATGGGAACTCCTAGGTGAGGGTGACTAGTCCCCAGGGAAGGAGTGGACCTGGGTCCCCAGTGTGCACTCGGGCTGAGGGCTGCAAGCCTCCCTCCCGCCCCCTTATTGCTGACTCTGAAGCCAGTCTGTGTGGGTTCAACTTCTTAGTAGCTATGTGTCCTTGGGCAAGTCTCTCAACCTTTCTGGGCTTGTTCCCACCTCCAAAAGGGCGGGATGGGGTGATCTAGTTATTCAGCAAATATAAGAATGCCAGCTAGGTGCCAGGCACTGTCCTAGGTGCTGGAAAGCAATGAGATTCCTGTCCCTAGTGGTAGTACTGAGTTGAGATCAACTTCCCTTGTTTAACACAGCTAAAAAAATGGTTGTGACTCAACAAATGGCTCACCGGTACTACTGTCATTGTTTTGCTAAGCCTTGAGGGTTGGCCAGAGTGCTGCACTCCTTCTGCCACTCACTGACTGGGAGGTTTGGAGCCAGGGACATCACAGCTCCGAGCCTGTCTCTTCATCTGAATAATGAGGGAATACCTTGGAGGAGGCTGGGGTGAGGGGAAATGCCAGGTACCCAGGAGGTCCCCTAACACTGGCCAGCTGTAATCAGAATCAGACCATCCCACTGCACCCCAGCAGGCAGAAAGAGCCAGTGCCCATCTGGGCCCACTAGAGATATCCCGCCCCCCTGGAAGGAACACACACAAGCTTCATCAGGGTCCTTTCGAAGCTGGAGTTTATTTCTGCCAGAGCAGGAGGCTGGGAGGGTCAGGGAGACTCCTCCAGCCCCCACGGAGACACCAACTGAACTGTGATCACACAAGAGCAACCAGATGGGAGGGCAGAGCATGGGAGGGGAAAAGGGCCCTCTTATCCTGCCCCTCTGTAAAAATCAAAGGCTGGTGGAGGCCTGGGAGGGGGAAAAGGGTGGTGGAAAGAGGGGAGGAGGGAAGAGGAGAGGCCAGTGGAAGCCCTGGCTGAGGAGGGCCAGGGAATGTGCTCCCTTCCTGAAAATTAGCTGAAAGAAGGATGGGAGCTGGATGGGACCACAGTGTGCCAACTACATCCGAATTTCCTTCCCAGAGAGAGAGCCCTAGCCCTTGCTTCCCTGCTCCCCTGCTCCTCTGTGTTCCGGGGTTCACTGGAGGTCTCAGGGGACCCCTCCAGGGTGGAGTTGATAAGTGCTGTGGTGCCAACAGGTGGCGCCATTTCCAAAGTGCACGAAGCCACAAGGGTGGGTTCATGGTACCAGCACCCACGGGGGGCCAGGAAGGGAGGGGCTGGGGCAGGGAGGGGTCACTGGGACTGGGCTTCAGGGGACCCGTCAGGCCCAGGGGGCTGCGGCCCAGACCCTGGCTCTGCCTCCTCAGCCTCCTCGTCTGATGCCACGCCCTCCTCCAGTCGGAAGACCTGGCGCACGGTGCGGGTGGTGAAGGTGAGGGGGCCGCGTCTGCGGGGAGAAGGTGAGACCAGGAGGCAGAGATTAAATGAGGGGTGCAGAGAGAAAAGTGCGAGATAGGGAGATGTGGAGAGAGATAATAAAGTTGAGGGAGAGAGATGAGACAGGAAGAAATGGACAGAAATGGGCAGAGGGCAAGTGAGAGGGCAGAAAGAGATGGAGGGGACAGAGAGATAGAGATTGGGGGACAGAGAAAGATGGGAGAACAGGGGTTGATGGAGTGAGGATGCAGATGCATGGGGTGGCCATACCGGAGCCGGTTCCTCAACGTGGTCACCTCACGGTTCATGGACTCAGCAGACTCTGTGACATCTTCCAGCTCACGCTGCAGCCTCCGGCGACCCGCCTGGGCCCTGGATGCCTCCTCCTCAGCCTCCTCCAGCTGTCGCTTCAGCTGCTTCACTCGAAGGTTCCCCTTCTCCAGCTTGGAGGGAGCAGGGAGGCTCGGTCACGTCTCTGGGTGCCATACTCACCCCTCATTCTTATCACTTAACCTTCCCTCGACCCCATTCTTCTCTCTAGCCATACTGGTATTCCTTTTGCTCTGAACTCACCAATCTTATCTCCATACCCCAGGGCCTTTCCACCTGCTGTTCCCTCTGCCTGGCTCTTCCCCACCCTTCTGGTCTCAATTAAATGCTACCTCCTCAGGGGTCTTTCTGACTCCCCCCGCCCCCCCCATCTAAAGAGGATTCCCCAACCCTCCATGTCTCCCTCACTCTTCATTCCCTTTTCCCTTCATAGTCCCTGTCACAATCTGTAATTATCTTTGCTTGTTTATAAGTTCATTATGTCTTTCTTTTCCTATGCTGAAGATGTGAGGTCAGGGATCTTCTCTGTCTCATTCACAGCCATATCTTCAATGCCTAGCATAATGCCTGGCACATAGTGAGTGCTCAATAATTGTGGAATGAATGGCGAATAAAACACAGCTGAGCTTTTAAGGGCACAGTGATGCTATCTAGAGTCAGGTAAACCTGGGATTGATCCAGGCTCTGTCTCTACTAACTATGGCTCTGGTGCAAATTATATCCCGTTTTAAAGGTTCCATTTCCTCACCTGTGAAATGGGGCTGCCAACAGAATGCAAGTATGTATTTTTAAAAAGGGGGTAGCACAGAGCTTGGGACACAGTAACTGCTCAATAAATAATTAAGAGCACAGATGCTGCAGCCAGAGTGCTAGGGTTTGAACTCTGGTTCCATCTCTTACTAGCTAAATAATTCTGAGCAAGTTACTTCACCTTTCTGTGCCTCAGTTTTCTCACCTGAATGCGAGGGGGAAATAACAGTACGTTACCATACCGTTCTGATAAGAATTAAATGTACTATACCTTATGTCTTTAGCAGAGTACCTGGCACATTGAAAGCATTCAATCAACACTGTGTGCTGTTATTTTAGCCCTGGCCTAGCCTCTGGGTAGGGTTTAACTTCTTCCCTCTCCTTGGCTGTCTTAGCTTCTAGAAAGCTCAGTTTTCCTAGATTCCAGAATTTATGCATGGCAAAGTCAGATTCCAGCTCTCTGCCGATGGTACCAAGCCCCAGGACGGTATCTACACTCAATTCCAGTCCCACACCTGCACGCTGCCCCTTGTGATGGGAACTCACTGCCTCCAGAGACCACACGTGCTATTTCTCCATCAGTAATCCAATCCTCCACTGCTCCCCAGTGACATCAGCTACTCACCTGGTCCCTGAGCTGGTCAGCCACCCTCCGCTCCTCCTCCACCTGGAGCACCACCTCTTTAAGCCGTTTCTCAGCCCTACGCACCAGCTTGCCGGAGAGGATGCGCTCCCTGCAGAGAAGCATGCAGGAGAGAATCAGGAGAGGTGCTCCCTGGGGTTCCATCCTCTCGGCCTTGTCCAGTGGCTGCCATCCTGTGCTTGAACTGGCCTCTTCCCTCTTTCCCACCCCAAATGACTCCCACAGTCTACTTCGGCCAGACACTGGAACCCAGGTTCCCCCACTCCAGGGCACCTACGTCCTTGGTTTCTACTAAGATATTCCTAAAAGTGTCTCCATGTCTCCACCAGTTTCCGTATCTCACTAGGTCCCTCACACTCAACTGCACTTCCTCTAACCCTCCTCTCAGGGAACTGACCCACTGACTGCCAGTCCCCAGGTCAGACCACTGGGCACTGTCCTCGCTCCTTCTCTCTCCTTTGCCACCCCCCAGCTTGTCAGTACCCAAACCCTGTCCCACTGCCCCCTGAACTCTGTCCCCTCCTTTCTATCCTCACAGCCCCAGCCCCCAGCTCAGGCCTCTTCCTCTCCCAGCTGATCTTCCCTCCACCTGGTCTGGAATTTCCTTTCTTCCTTTGTCTTTTCCTTCTCAACTTCCTACTCTGGCTATATGTGTTTCTGGAACACTCTGGAAGCCCAAAGCTCCATCCTCTTTGCTGGCTTCTTACTCACATGCTTTCCCTGGACAAACTCATCTGCGCCCAGGTTTCCACAACAATCAACAGGCTGGTGTATGCTAAATCTGTCTCCTGAGCTCCAGCCTCCAGCCTTGGCCATCAATAGACTCTGCACTCCCCTCACATTCCCCACTGGGCTCAGTGCCTTCCCCCAAACCTGCTCCTCCTCCCATTCCCTGTGATCTACCTAGAGCTGCAGGCCAGATGCCTGGAGCCATCCTCACCTCCTCTCTCCTGTCAAGTCCTTTCCCTCCTGTCTCAAAGACCCTCATCCCCAAGGCCGCTGCTCATCCATCCTCTCCTCCATGGACCATCACACCTAGGGTGAAGTCCATGTAATGAGGCCCCTAACAACGGGCAGTACTCAGCAGCCACAACTGGACACGGCAGCCCCAGATGTGCTGAGAGGCAGGCATGGGTCTGGTGGAAGTGGGAGGGTAGTGAGCCATGGAAATGGATGCAGTGGGAACACTCCTTTAGCTGCTGATCAGCTGGCCAATGCTTGCTCCCAGGGGGACTTTGAGCAAGTCACTAATACCCTCTGAGCCTCAGTTTCTTTGTATAATGGGGGAAGGGGAACTCAAACTCAGACCAGTGTATCCATCAGCCTCTGGAAAGCCTCCCCAGAGACTTCAAACTACATTTCCCATGAGGCCCTGGGCCCTTGGCCAGCCCCACAGACAAGAACCGCTTCTTCCATGAACCTCTGGGGCCAGTTCCTTCGGCCTGTGCCTCTCACTCTCATCATGTTCCCCAATGAATTCAACATCTTCCCCAACCCCTAATATTTCCCCAGTTACCAGGCCTTAATCCCAAACATTGTCCTCTTCCCCCTACACCTCCAACAGCCCATCAGCCCCCAGCTCCATCCCTTCTGCTCCTGACTTTCTCATTTTCATCTCCTCCTGTCCATTCTCATGGCCCAGCCCCAGCCCAGGGCTCATCTTCTTCCACCTAGACCATCATCCAGCCTCTTCCCTGGCCTCCCATCTCCCATCCTTTCTCCTCTAGTCTGTTCCCAACTTGGCCCCAAGGGGGTCTTCCTACACCTAGCACTGGCACTGTCCCATCCAAGCTCACAGCCTCTTGTGACTCCCTATCACCCTAGGGACAGAGCTCCTCAGCCTGGCATTCAAGCCTCTTGCTCCCCAATCCCTCTTCTAAGTCACAGACTCCTAGGACCAATTGCAACTCCTCCAAATGCTCCGATGTCTCCCATATGTTCCCCTGAGGCTGCTGCTCTGCTTGGGACTCTGTGCTCTGGAAATCTTGTCACGCCTGTCAGGCCCAGCTCAAATGTCTCCTCTTTCGGGAAGCCTTCCAAAACCATTCCATCTCAGGCTGATCTAGCTTCTCCTTCAACTGTGGTCCCTGGTCACCAGCCCTATTAGTTCAGAGGATCTCCCCTTTGTTGCCATGTCCAGCTCACAAGTCTTTCTCCTCGCTGGGTCAGGGGACAGGCCTTGGTCTGAAAGGAGGGACGTACAGAGACTAAGTGATAAAGGTAACTTCTGAGTCTAGCTCAGGTGGGGAATTCCCCTGGACCATGACCTCTTTTAAGGCAGGGACTGGCTATGTCTCATTGTTCACCATTTCCCCAGTGCCCAGGCATGGGAAGGTAAGCAGTACACTCTTAATACATGTTTGTTGCATGAATAAATGCAAAAGGGAACCTTATATACCTTTTGGTATAAAACAACACACTCTTCTCCACCAGACGATGGTAGAGATGCTGAATTACAGGTCAGGCACCCAAGATTTATATCCCATCTTTGCCTAAGTTTTCCTGTATATAGAGGAGAGATAATACTGGCCCTTCTCTCACAAGGATTGTGACTCATACATGTATATACAAGTAGTTCAGTATCCGACATATAGTAAGTCCTCAGTAAGTGGAAACTATTATTGTTATTATTGTTACTAAATAGTATGGAACAAGAGAAAAATCTATTGTATCGGAAGAGTGACATTTATTCTGCTTAGTAATAAGTATTCTGTTAGTTTTGTTAGCACAGTGGAAACGTTGGGATGTGTTCCTGGTTTTTCCAAAGACTGGAGATGGAAATGCTCTCAGGCCCACATTGCTGCTGCTTCCTGGCTTTGAACATGGATGTATGGGTGTGATGTTTCGTACAAGTGACCATTTTGTGACCATGAGGGAAAGACCAAGGGAACTACACAGATGTTGACCCAGATCTCTGCCACCCTTCAGCTGCCCAGCTCTGGACTTATCATGTGAGAAAAAGAAATCCTTTATGATATATTAATGACAGAACTGGCTTCAATTTTCACCCCTTCCTGTATCCACACCCTTTGCAATATGACTTTATAGCTGCTGCCACGAAGAGGCAGAGTCCATCTCTCCATTCCCTTAAATCTAAGCTGGCCACATGTCTCGCTTTAGTAGCAGGATATGGTAGAAGTGATATTGTACCAGTTCTAAGTCTAGGCCCTAAGAAGCCTTTAACACTTTCCCTCACTCTTTGAAACTTGACTGCCGTGTGAACAATCCTGGGCCAGCCTGGAGCAGGGACAAGTTAGCCTACTTGTCCCAGGCGAGACCTTAGACATATGAGAGCTCAGCCAAGATCAGCCAAACCATCTAGCTGACCCTCAGGTGAGCATAGGTGCATGAGTGAGGCCCACTAAGCTCAGATCAGCAGAACCTACCAGCCAGCCCAAAGACTCCTGAGAAGTAACAGCTGTTGTTTTAAACCACTAAGTTTTAGGATGGTTTCTTATGCAGCTATAGCTAACTGCTACATCACTGTTTAAATCATACTCTTAGTGGAGTGCAGGTACTTGCAGCCTAAAGCATCTTAAATGATATAGGAAATCAGTAACCATTACTATTATGATGCCTTTGGGTTGTTCCTAAACCGGGTGTTTGTAACACAGCTCGCCTTTATCTCATAAACCAGGATGTGGAGGTCACCTCCAGCCATGCCCTCCTCTCCCACCTACCTGCTCTCCTGCTCCAGCTGCTCCTCAGCCTGGGCCAACTTAGACTCAAGAGCAGCAATGGTCATCTTCTGGCGGGCCCGGGTCCCCGCGTCCTCCTCGCCCAGGCGCCCCCGGAGCTCCTGGATCTGTCGCTCTAGCTGCTGCCGCCCGCTCTCTGCCTTGGCAGAGAAACTGCGCTCAGCTGACAACTCTGTGGTCAGTGATTCCACCTGTAGCAGTGAGAAAGGCAGGATATTATGGTGGAGTCTCAGAGGGAGGGTGGTACGTAAATCCAAGCACCTCCCACAATTAAGTGAGTTGATGATTGTTTAGTGCAGGGGTCGGCAAACTGAGACTCATGAGCCACATGCAGCTTTGGGTACTTACATGTGGCTCTGAAGTAAAACTGAAAATGAAAATAAAACTATCATAGTTTCATTTATAAAAATTTTAAAGGATATTATTCACATAATGGTGATTATGTAAAAATATATTGGGTTGTAGGAAAAGTCATGACGTACTTTTTCTGTTTTTCGTTGCAAAAATGCGTCATGACTTTTCCAACAATCCCATATTTATGGCTCTCAAATAATTTTTAAATTGTTGTGAGGGACAGGATTGGCTCTTCCAGGGACCGGCAAACTTTTGAGATGGAACGTACCCAAAGGGTCGCATGAGGCTCATGAGCCGCAGTTTGCCGACCCCTGGTTTAGTGCATAGCACAGCGGTTCTCAATCTTCCTAATGCCGTGACCCCTTAATACAGTTCCTCATGTTGTGGTTACCCCCAACCATAAAATTACTTTCATTGCTACTCTATAACTGTAATTTTGCTACTGTTATGAATCGTAAATATCTTTTTGTTTTCTGATGGTCTTAGGCGACCGCTGTGAAAGGGTCATTCGACCCCCAAAGGGGTCGTGACCCACAGGTTGAGAACCGCTGGCATAGCACAAAGCCTAATACATACTAAATACTCAACAAATGTGAGTGTGCATTTTTCCTGATTGGCTTCTCAGCCAACAGAAGTACCAAGCCTGGGTTTTAATCTTTTGGATAGGTTTTTGCTATTTTAATAAGTCCACAAGACTATCACAATCTTGTTTAATGCTATAAATTCTACTTCTGACAGTGAATGAGTCTATTCCAAGGGTTATCACACTTTTGTTTTCACCAGAATCATTTTGGGAACTTGTGAAGAAAATGCAGACCGCAGGGTAGCACCCTCCAGAGATTCTGATACAGCAGGTCTGGGGTGGGGTCCATGAATCCACATTTTTAACAATATCTCAGGTGGTTCTGATATGAGTGACATGCAGGATCATTTTGAGAAATGCCAGCTCAATAAACAGTAGCTATTACATTGAGAATGTGTAAACACCCCCTAATAATAGCTCCCGTTTATTTATTCAGCTCATACTCTGAGTGAGGCCCTGTGCTGGGGACACGGAAATGAGTCAGAATCAGTCTGATTCATACTTTATTTCATTTTACCCTCACAGGAACTCATCAGTGTGGTGATTATCACTTGCTGGTATTTTTTATTGCTGAAATCTATTACTCTTTTTTTAAAACAAGTTTTTATTTTTCAGGGACAGTTGACATACAATATTATATTAATTTCAGCTGTACAACATAGTGATTAGATATTTATATACTGGTAACTAGATTTATCGGCATGATCACTTTGTAAGTTATATAAATGTCTAAGCATTTGCTCTTTTAAAAAAAAAGTTTGGGGCCGGCCGAGTGGCGCACTGGTTAAGAGTTAGCTTGGGATGCCAGAGAGCCCCGGTTCGGATCCCACATATGAGGGCCAGTGACACTGCCCTCCACAGCTAAGATGCTGAACAACAGCTCCACCTGGAGCTGGGCTGCCATGAGTCGCCAGCGACGGGGTAGGTTGCAGTCCCCTACTGCAGTGGGTTGCCATGGGCTACCGTGTGTAGCCAGCAGCCAGCGTGAGCGGCCAGCAGCCGCAGTGAGCGGCCGCCCAGAAGCCGGCGACTGATCTGCCTCACCCGGGAAGAGCGCAATGATGGTGCCAACTTGGGCCAGTGAGGCAACGTCCTCCACAACTAGACTGAAGAACAAAAGGACAGCAACTTGTCTGTTCCCCTTCCCTGATTCTCCAACGCTATTCCCCTCCCTCAAATGCCCAATAAAATCTTTAAAAAAAAAAGTTTTATTGGAAAATACAACTGATACAGAAAGTAAAATATTGATCAAATATATGGCTTCATGGGTTAGTGAAAGGCAAACACCACTGTCACCACCACCCAGGTCACGAAAGACAAGTTGGCCACTTCACAAGCCCCTTCATGTACCCATCCTAATAGCAACTCCTTCTGTCCCCTAAAACAGCACATTATCCTGACTTAGGATCACTTCCTTACCCCTCTTTTGAGTTTTATTACTCAAAGATTCATCCCTAGGTCCTATAGTTGAATCCTGCTCATTTAAAAAATCATAGGTATGTCTTTTAAGTCTCATTTAACCTACAGTTCCCTCCTCCGTCCCTTTTATTTCCTTACAGTTAATCTGTTGAAGACTCTGGGGAGCTTAACCTGTAGAATTTCAATAAGTCTGAATTTTCCTAATTACATGTTCATGGTCTAATTCAGCATGTTTCTCTGTTTCTCCTGTTTCCCTCACATCGGCAGTTGCGTTAAGACACTTAACTCTTTCTCTTTATGAGTTTTCAAAGTAATGAACTGATTCTCTGTCATCCTCCGAAGGTGACTAGACTGGGTTGAATAGACTCCCTCCAAAAATGCATGCCCATCCAGAATCTCAAGAATGTGACCTTATTTGGTAATATGGTTGTTGGAGATGTGATTAAATTAAGATGGGGTCATGCTGGATTAGGGTGTGCCCTAAATCCAATATGGCTGGTTTCCTTATAAGGAGTGGAGAGGAGACACTGACACAGAGAGAAGACACAGAGAGGACCATGTGAAGACAGAGGCAGAGACTGGATGTATCTACAAGCCAAGGAACGCCAAGGATTGCTGGCAAATACCAGGAGCTGGGGGAGAAGCATGGAATAGATTCTCCCTCAGAAGAAGCCAACCCTGACACACCTCGAAATTGGACTTCTGGCCTCCAGAATTGTGAGAAAGTAAGCTCCTATTGTTTTAAGCCACTAAGGTTGTGGTAATTTGTTACAGCAGCCCTAGAAAACTAATAGTGACTAATTAGTACTTTGAAAAATGTTGTGAACTCATGGATTTAAACAGATTTGGTGGATTTAAAGCAATTGCGATTATTATCCTTGTTGAAGCTCGACTTGTTCCATTTGGGGTCAGTGGGTGCCTCTCTAGGTTGACATCTAAGTGCTTTTGACATAACCATGCTAGCTTTCTAGATAACTTGTATTTATGGACTGAATGTTTGTGTCCTTCCAAAATTCACCTGTTGAAACCCTAACCCCAAAGGTGATGGTATCTGTGAGATGGAACCTTTAGGAGGTAATTAGGGCTAGGTGAGGTCATGAGGTTGGGGCTCCCATGATGGCATTAGTGCCCTTCTAAGAAAACACCAGAGAGCTGACCCTCTCCCTGCCCCCACCCTGCGCACACAGCAAGATGGCGGCTGCCTACAAGCCAAGAGAAGAGGCCTTGGAACAAAACCTACTTCACTGGCACCTTGAGCTTGGACTGCCCAGGCTCCAAACTGTGAGAAATAAATTTCCATTGTTTAAGCCACCCAGTCTGTGGCATTTTTGTTGAGGCAGCCTGAGCAGAATAAAGCATGACGTTCCAGCCTACTTGCATTCATTTCCTGCTTCAGATCTGGAGTTTCTAAAGAAGCTCCAGTTTCTTTGAAAGTGGGAAATGGTGTTTCTAGACCACAATGTGGGCCCTAGGGATGCTCACTGCTACTGGGTTGGTTATTGTTTCTAGGCCTCTTGGGTGGACAGAGATGAAATGGATCTATATAAAATACCCCACACATCCAAGAGTGAATATATCCAAGTCAAATTCAGGACTACAGGGATTTGTTTTGTTTTTAACTTAGCCTCTTCTCTATGACATCTATATCTAGGTTCTTACATGCTGAGGATACTGAGATTATGGACACAGATTATGATGAATTTAGAATATCCCATCTTTAATCATTTACTTTACCCCACATTATAATGGTCTCAGAACCACAACGATAATACTATCACTACCGATATAATTACTGAATATAGTAGTAATTTTTTTTTTGCCTGTTTGCCCAACCTTTCCATTTAACAAACAGTTGGAGTCGGCCAAGTGGCTCGTTGGTTAAGAGTTGGCTTGGGAGCGCAAGCTCTGAGCAGCAGGGCTGCTGGTTTGGATCCCACATGGGCCAGTGACATTGCCCTCTACAGCTAAGACGGTGAACAACAGCTAGACCTGGAGCTAGGCTGCCATGAGTCGACAGCGACGGTGACAGCGACGGTGTAGGCTGCAACGGGGCTGCAGTAGGCTGCCATAAGCTACCGTGAGTGACCGGCAGGCAGCATGAGTGGCTGGTGGCGTAAGCCGCCATGAGCCACCGTGAGCAGCCGACCAATGGCCGGCGACTGACCTGCCTCAGCCGGGAAGAGTGCAATGATCACAATACCAACATGGGCCAGTGAAGCGACGTCCTCCACAACTAGACTGAAGAATAAAAGGACAGCAACTTGTCTGTTTCCCTTCCCCAATTCCCCAACGCTGTTCCCTCCCCCAATTGCCCCAATAAAATCTTTAAAGAAAAACAAAAAAAAACAGTTGTACTGCACATAACTGAGTATCCAGCCATTATCTTTTTTACTCACTCTTTTTCAGCCTTCACTTGCTCTTTGAACTATGAGTGAACTGTATGCTCATTACTCGGTCACACTGATGTCTCTCTAGTGATTCTGATCATGTGAACCTGGGTCTCTAGGGCAGTAGTTCTCAGAACCACCTGGAGGGCTTGTTAAAACACAGATTGCGAGGCCCCACCTTCAGCAGTCCTCTTTTACTTGGGCTTGGCTGGGGCCCAGGAACTTGCATTTCCAACAAGTTTCCAGGTGTTGCTGATGCTACCGGTCTTGGGGCCACACTTTGAGAACCACTGATTACTTCCAGATTACTCAGGAAGAGTTTATGGGAATAGTCCCCAAATTCTTACATGCCGACAACTTGTTTGTGTCCTTTATATGAAAGTAAATCTTGTTTGATACAAAATCATTGGCTCACACTTGCTTTCTTTAAGTACCTTAAATTTATGTCTCCATTTTCTTCTAGCATAAAATCATATTGTCAAAAATCTGATGATAATGTAATTTTCTTTTCCTTATATATCACTTGCTCATTTTTTCCCTGATGGCTAAAGGATCCCCCCCACTCCTTTCAAGTCCAATAGTTTTACTAGAATCTGTCTTGGTATCAGTTTTTTAATGGGTCAATATCCTTAGGTACACAGTGTGCTCTTCTAATATGTAGCTTCAAACTTTTTTGTTTCAGGAAAGTTTTCTCGCATTATGTATAGGTTTTGGTTATTTGCTTGTTCCCTTGCTTTGGTTTTCTTCTTTGGGGACTCCTAGTATTCATATGTTGGGTCTTCTTTGCCTGTCTTCAATATTTGCTATTTTCTTGTGAATCCCTTTTTAAATTTTATTTTGATTTTTGCAAAGGTTCTCCTTTCACCAATAGCCAAGGACACAGGTTAGGTTAAGTCACATCATTCTTTATATGGTTGTAGTATCCTATGCCTGTCCATTAACACATGTATAGGTTTATTCACTTCATTTACAATGAGCACCCAGCACTCTTTTAGGTACAGTATAGAGTAGTGAACAAAAGTAAAACAGAGATCCAACTCTCAAGGTGCTTACACTCTGTTGGGGAGTTGGACAATAGACAAACAAGTAAATATATAATATACAATATATAATATATAATATAATATCAGGCAGTGGTAAGTGACATGAAGGAGATTAAAGCAGAGAGAAATCATAGGAGGGAGGGTGGCTGTTTCACATAGGGTTGTCAGGGAAGTTTTGAGGGAGTGAGACATATGATGGTCTGGCAGAAGAGCTTTCTAGGAGGAGGGAACAGTAAGTGCAAAGGCCCTGAGGTAGGAATAAACTTGGCATCATCGAGGAATAGTAGGAGGCTGGTGTAGCTGGAGCAGAGTGAATCAGAGGGAAAAGGGTTAGAGATAAGGTCTGAGTTAGCCAAGAACCAGAGTGTGGGGTGTTGTAGGTGACTGGGATTTTACTCTGAGTGTGAGCTGTATCATCCTGGAGTATGACTGCCTCTCCTACTGGCCTACGGGCTCCACAATGGCTGAGCTGGGGTCTTACTCTTTGAGTCCCCAGCAGTGTTGGGTCATGGCCCATGAAAGGCCTCAAAATGTGTCTTTAAAAATTAATGAAATGATAGAGACATAGGTCTCTCTTTGGAAATCCCATCCCTCTGTTGTCTGCCTAGCAAACTTTTAACTTTATATAAGAACTCTTAAGGCACCACCTCCATCAGGAAGTCTTCCCTGATAGCCCTCAGCCTCCAGGCTGGGTCCCATCTAAGTTCTCACAATGTCTTGTGCTTCTTCCATTTTTATTTGTATCTCTGTATGGAGATAGTCTGTCTCCTTCATCAGACTAGGATGTCCTTAAGGACAGAAACATGAAATGATCCATCTCCAGGTCACCAGCATCACCCAGAATAGGATCTGGGCTTCCAGAAGACTTAGAAAATATTTATAAATAAATATACAAATGAAAATATGCTCGTCTCCATCTGCCTAGCCTCTACTTATGCTTTAAAACCCCAGCCAAATGTCTTTTCTTCCAAATTCCAAATGGCTTCTTGTGACTTTTGCAGAAAATTCCCTCTCTCTCTCTCTTCCCCCTCCCCCACAGAATTCTGCAGGACCGAGACCCCACATAGTTCATCTCTGGATTGGGCCCTTGAGAAACCTCAGAAATACAAGTGCCTCCCTTCTGTGAGAACTCCTATTCATCCTTCAAAACCCAACTCAAATATTCCCTTTTCCTATGCCTGTTGAATAAAGGACTAAAGGTTATGATCCCAGGTCAGTGGGGATCTGGGCTGGCAGGGGGTGACTGGGTTGTGCTCACCTGCAGGAGCAGCTTACGGTAGCGGTCATTGAGCAGCTCTGCATTACTCTGCTCTTCTTCTAGTTCCTCTTCCATTTGCCCTAGGCGCCCCTCCAGCTGACGCTTCTCCTCCAGAATGGCTGCCCTAGGGAGAACCCAACCATGGGGATGTGAGAGGGCAGGATGGCCCGAGGAGGAAGAGGCCCTGCTCCACATTATCATGAGCCACTCACTTGCTAAGGCTGCCGTTGGCCACTTCATCTGCCATCTCATCCCGTTCCTGCTGGGCCTGCCGCCTGGCGCGGTCTGAGGCAGCCAGTTCCTGCAAGGACAAAGAGGGGGTGGTCAGCAGGGGCTACAGGCGGCTATCTGGGCACCGGCCTCTCTGCCTCTCACACTTCAAGTCTCTTGGCCTTTTTTTTTTCACTGCAGATGAACATGCCAGTCCATGGGTAACTTTGGCATGAAGTTCGATCTATAGGCAGATGTCTCCTAAATTTACCTTGGGGGGCCCTGACCCCTGTCCTCCTCTTGCCATCCACCCCCAGGCTCCTCACCTTCATCACCTCTTCACCGAGCTCAAGTGTTTCCTTTCAAGCCTGCTTCTCCTCCAGTTTTCCCCAGTCACCAGGACAGACCCCCAGGTCTCTCCCCGCCTCCTCTGCCCCCTTACTGCCCACAGCCCTGCCCATCCTGCCCCTTTACTCTTGGTCTTGTTCCCTCCTCTGCGTCCCCATAGCCCTGGCTCAGGACTGGTCTTCTCTCCCCAGGCTACCTGCCTCCAGTTTCCCCCACTCCAGACCATCTTCCATAAGGCCCCAAAGCAGACCCTGCCCCTCTCCTGCTCAGAACCCTCCCAGGGCTCCCTAATGCCCCCAGGCCCTGTGTGGTTCTCCCCCTTCACCCCCAGCCTCCCATCCCAGGCCCCCGCCCATCCTGCTTCACCTCTTGCAGCCGCAGCACCTCCGCCTCCAGTCCTTTAAGGCGCTTGTCACTCTCCCGGTTCTGGGCAAAGATCTCCTCCCGGGAGTTGCGTGACTCCTCCACCTCCCGCCACAGCTCCTTCATCTGGGCCTGGGCAGAATGGAGCAAGTGGGCGGGCTCAGCCTAATCACGGCTCATGGGGAACCCCCTACCCTTGCAGCAGCCCTGTGAGGGCTCCTTGGCTCCCCCAGAGCCCTGCAGACCTGGGCTTCCCTACCGGTCCCCAGCTGAACTGACCTTGGGCCAGCCCCTCCCCCTCTTTGGGCCTCAGCTGCTTTCTTTTTAAAAAAAGAAACACCTTAAAATTAAAGAAAGCCTAAAATGGATATAGTATTTGGACTCCGCAGTAATAATGATGGTGGCAAACGTACCTGTTATATACACATAATGACTCTTTAAATCCTCCCAGTTCCAGTTGGGGGTACTGTTTTCCTGCCCTGCCTCTCTCAACCCCATTTACAGATGGAGAAACTCAGGCACAGAGTTTTGCAATATGGTCAGGGTGCTAAGTGGCAGAGCCAGAATGGGAACCCAGGCCATCTGGCCCCAGAGTTTACTCTTCTAGCCACTTTGCTACCTGGCCACACTACTTCTGAGAGGGTGTAAAGATGCCAGTATAAAGGTTTTCTCCTCAATGGTGCTTAAAATAAAGAAAAGTAAAAAACAAACTAAATGTCCACCACCATTTAAAAGACCCCACTCCCTATCTTTACAATGGAATAGTGTGTCGCTGTTAATAACCATAGTGAGGACAGCAGCGGGCTTGAGAGTAGGACAATTATCATCACTGCTGTTAAGTGTTATTTGCTTGATAATAATAGCTTTTCAGAGTGGGGGTTTCTCTCAGGGATGACATGGAAGGCAATTTTTACTTTTCAGGAGGGATCTTTCTATACCAGCGCTGCCCAAGAGAAATATATTGTGAGGACAAATGCTGTTTGACATTCTCTAGTAGCCACATTAAAAAAGTAAAAAGAAACAGGTGAAAAAAAAAAAAACAAAAACAGGTGAAATTAGTTTGAACACTATTCTATTTAGCCTAATCTATCCAAAATATTATTTCCATTTATAATCAATATAAAAACTATTGAGATAGTCTATATTTTTTGTCCTAAGTCTTCAGAATCCAGTATGTAATTATGATTTTGGACCCACTACATTATAGATGCCCGACAGCCACATGGGGCTGGTACCTACTGTATTGGACAGCCCAGTTTTATACTTAAAAAGAAGACTTGAGTTTTTAGAGCAGTTTTAGGTTCACAGCAATAGTGGCCAGAAGGTACAGAGGTTTCCCATACAGCCTCTGTTCCCCCAAATACATAGCCTCCCCCATCCCCCACCAGAGGGGACATTTGTTTACAATCGATGGATCTACCTTGCTCTATCATTATCACAAAATACACACACACACACACACACACACACACACACACACACATATTTAAACAACCAGTCTCCTCACTCTCAGCACCTCTTTACTGAGCTCAGCATTTCCCCTCAAACCGGCTCCTCCTTCAGGTTCCCCCAGTCCCTGGGCCAGACCCCCAGGGAGGAAAAAAAACCCTAAGGTGTTTCTACTTCAAAAATTAAATAAAATGAGGGAATTGGACTTAAAAATTAAGCATTGTAAATAAAAGCAATAAAAAATATAAAAGAACCAAGTGAGCCTTTGGGACATGGGTGTTTATAACGGTGGTGACCAATCTGGACGTGCTGGTTGTCAGACGGAGGGAGGGGTCCAAGCTGGTGTCCAGCCTGGAGCTGTGGTGGGAGCTCACCTCCCAGGCTTCAGCCCCGCCCCCTAGCCGGTTTAAGCCCCGCCCCTTACCTGCATCTTGCGAAGCTGCTTCACCGCCTCCTCCTTGCCCTGCCCGGCGGCCGCGGTCTGGGCCTTCAGCTCCTCCAGCTCGGCCTCCAGCTTCTTGCGGGCGGCTACCGCCAGAGCGCGCTGCTTGCGTTCCTCATCCCGCTCCACCTCTGCATCCCGCAGCTGGAGATTGTGGGGGAGGCCGAGGGGGAGGGGCTCAGGACACCGGAGGCCCAGGTTCCCTCTACATGCCAGTGACATAGATGTCCAACCTCCAGCTGCTGCCCCTGCCTCTCCACCCCAAACCCTCCTCTCTACTCCCATCGCCCTCCAACCCATTTTCAGCAGGGCTCCAGAGGGTCTCCGAATACTCAGAGCTGATCCTGCTCCTCCCCTGCTCACGGCCCTCCTGTGGCTCCCCAGTACCCCCAGGGCAAAGTCTTGGACGTTAATCCATGGCTGGATCAAAGGGGCCAGGGGAGATGAAAAACACCTGGAGACCCCCAGTGACACCCTCCCTCCCCCAGCCTGGGTCACTGGTTCCATTCCTCTTTCCAGGCTGCACAGCTCCAGTTTCTCCACCTCCAGCTGGCTGCCCACATGGCCCCAGAAGGGTCTTTGTGACACTCAGAGCTGACCTGCTCCTCCCATGCTCAGCAATCGTGTAGTGAGGGCCTCACCCTCAGCAGACCATAGGACTGAATGAGGAATGAATGAATGGTGCACAGGAGAGTGTGATGGAACAAATGAGAAGGCGGGTGGAAGAGTGAATGAATGAGGTTGTGGATGAAGGGGCTGTGGACCAGTGAGTGCATGGGTAGGTTGGGAGTGCAGTAGGCTAGGGTTTGGGGAGTGGTTGGGATGGGGAGAGGTGGTTGCTTGGTAAGTTAGGTGGATGGAAAAACTGGATTCACAGTTTGTTGTGTAGAAGTGTCTGCTGGTGGTTGAGTAGATGAGTGGATGAATGGTTTGGTGGACAGAGAGTGTCTGACTGGGTACGTCAGTGGGAATGTCAGATCTGTGTCGGGGTTCATGGGTTAGGTGGAGAATGGGTTGGGGAACAGGAGGCTGGTGGGCTAGCAGACAGGACTTGGGTAGAAACACTGGGGAGCAGGTGGGCGAGTGAGGCTTCAAGCCCCTTTTGCTGCCTGTAAGCCCCAGGGCACAGCCAGCTGGATGGGCACCCTGCAGCCTCCCACTTGGCCTGCTGGTACCTGCTTGGCCAGCTGCCTCCGTCTCTCCTCACCGGCCTCGTCTCGGCCCTGTAGGTCACGCTCGTGCTGTGCCTTGAGAGCCTGCACAGTCACTTCCAGGCGCAGCTTGGCGTCCTCGGCTGCCGTCAGCTCATCCTCCAGCTCTGTCACCTGTGTTCGAAGGTCGCTGGCTGCCTGTTCTGCCACCCGGCGGGCTCGCTCCAGCTCATGTACCTGGGGGGGGGGGAGAGTGAGCACTGGGCACCAAGGTCACTGAGGGAGAGGAGAAGCCAGGGTCCTAGATCTATCCTAGGGTACAGTGAGGGGACCCCAAATCAATGTGCCCATCCTAGTTCGTTCATTCATTCACTTATTCAACACTTCCTGGGCATCTACTTACTATGTCTCATTCTGAGTCATCCTGAAACATATTTTATTAATAACCTATGCATGATTATTCTATATCTGAAGCTCTTGAGCGTCTAATCCAAGTGTTTGTTAGATCAGCTGACTCTCACTCATGGTGGATAATGTAATCATGGGTTTTGTGATTTTGGATTGTGAGCTCACTTCACTGGGACTTCATCTTTGGGAATCCAGCGTGGAAAGGGCATGCAACTCCAGATCTGTCAGTGTTGGTTTCTGCCAGGCTCCCCAAGATATCATCAACCCACGATCCCCTTCTATTTTTCTCTCAGCTTGAGAGTTTCCCAGACCTTTCAGGGAGATGTAAATTAAAACTCCAAACACTCTGCAAAAGCAGACCTGGGCTTATGAATTCTCAGAGACCCCTCTCACACCTCTCCTTAATTGCCACCTTTTCAGAGAAGCGTTTCTTGACCTGTCAGGGCCTCCCTATTACCCATGTTCCTGGCACTGAGCCCCTCTTCGACTCAGCCTTAGTCACAATGGTCATTTAAACATGCGCCTAACTCTCTCCACACTGGATCGTGAGTTCCACAGGGCAGGGACTATGCGTATGACCACTGCCCGATGACACTCATGGAAATGCTGGTCAGTCATAAGTGTCTACTTTCAGCCCTTGGAAAGGGCCAACTGGTCCCCCTTACTATTTGGCACCTGCCAATCAATTGTGTTTATTTGAAGTAATCAAACTTTCTCCCATCAACATCCCATTTCCCACAAAGGCCTTTGGAGTCACTATAAAAACTTGACAGTTTTCCCAAAGAATAGGCCTTAGTAGTTCCGGTATGAGTTGGATTTTGGCTCCAGTATCCCTGGGAGTGCAGGCCAAGCGTATGTCATGAGGTTGGGGGTTCTCTTCAGGCCTGGCTAAATGTTCCAGCGGATCAATACCAAAGTGTGTGAAGAAAATAAAGCCCTCATCTGTTGCACCCACGGGAGTACACTGTCTGACAATAAGGAAGGATGTTGGGAATATGTCTGTCCAAGGACTCAACTAAACACATATTCTGTCAGTGCCCCCGTCATTAGTCAGGGGGAGCTGTGTCCCTGGACCTGTCCTGGTTGGTGCCCCATACATACATTTATCAAGTGAATGGAGGTAGAATGCAGTGGAGGGTGTAGTGGACCTTTCAGAAGGCTGGACACTGGCTGGGTGGGCAGGCCTGGGGACAGGCCTGAGGTAACCCTCACAGGCCCTGGAGGGATGTATGAGTCAGGGGAAAACAGAGGCCTGGTGGGGTTGGAGGTGGCAAGGTGGGGTCTCCTCACACTGTGTGTGTTTATGTGTAACTGTGTGTTATGTGTGTGGGGGATATGTGTGCTATGGTGTGTGTGAATGTGGTGTGTGTGTCACATGTGTGTGTGCGTGCACATACTCACGTTTGGAGAGTGGTTCTTAGGCTGTATGTTGTGGTAAATTCACTTCATGTTCTCTCAGTATTCACACACACATGTGATGAGTGATTCTCATGCTCTATGTGTACATGTGAACATGTGTGTTTAATGGAAGATGCTCCTTACAGTCTCTGTACATGCATGTGAACATGTCTGACTTGTGAGCAGCTCTCATGTTCTGTGTGTGAACATGTGTGTCTGATGGCAGATTCTCCTCACACTCAGTGTATGTGAACACATGTGTTTGGTTAGCAGCCCTGCTCCTGTTCTGTGCTTGTGCATGAACATGTGACTTAGATGGCTGGTTCCCTTCGTGCTCTGTATGTGACAGCACACATGTGTGGATGTCTCTCTCCCAGCACCAAGTGTGCATGCAATTGTCACATGGGTGGCTCAGAGAGTGGGGGCCCCACTCACACTCTTGCCGACGTCATCCTTGCTGCTCAGCAGTGCCTCCATCTCCGCCCGCAGGGCCCGGTTCTGCCGCTCCAGCTCCTCACGTGCTTCCTGTTCCTCCTCCAGTGCCCGTGTCAGCGCCAGGGCCCGAGCCTCACGCTCCCGGCCCTCTGCCTCGACCCGCTCACGCTCCTCCACTGCCCGCAGCACGGCTGCCTTTTCTTCTGCCAGGAGCTTCCGGGTTGAGGAAGATGGGGTGAGGGAAATAGATTAGCTGACAGGATTGTACAAGGGGATGGGGAAGAGGGAGCAGCCAAGCCAAGGACAGAGAGAGACAGATAGATAGACAGAAGCAGAGACACAAGAGGGAGGTAGAGGGATTAAAGTCGCAAGGTGTCCCAAATCAGCTTAACTCTTGAATGGATCAAATTGATCAGTACCTCACTCTAGATACCCAACAGAGGAAAGGTGTTTCTTCTTCTTGGGGTAGTGGTAGAAAAAACATATACCTATATTTTAAAAATATACTTCAACCTTTACTGTACTTTTTAAGATACAGTAATTAAAAACAATAAAACTTACATGACATGCAAAAAAAGGAAGAGAGCAGTACTCAGTCAAGAGAAAAATCAGTCTATGAAAACAGATCCACAGCTGACCAAGATATTATCACACAAGAACTATGATAAATAAGTTTCAGTACAAGATGGATACAATGGGTGAAGAGACAGGTTTATTCCAGGAGGGGATTGAAACTGTAATACAGAACTAAATAGAAATGTCAGAACTGAAAAATACGATATTTGAAATAAAAGAGTCATTGGATGAAATAGAGCAGACTGGGCACAGAAGAGTCAGTAAACTTGAAAACAGGTCAATACTAATGATCTAAATAGAGTAAAGAAAGAAAAAAATATATAAAAAAATTAACAGAGGGCTGGCTGAGTGGCGCTTTGGTTAAGAGTTGGCTTGGGAACACCAGCTCTGAGAAGCAGGGCCCAGGTTCAGATCCCACATGGGCCAGTGACACTGCTCCCTCTATAGTTAAGATGGTGAACAACAGCTTGACCTGGAGCTGGGCTGCCATGAGTCGCCGGCGACGGCATAGGCTGCAGTGGGGCTGCAATGGGCTGCCGTGAGCTACTATGAGTGGCTGGCAGCCGATGTGAGAGGCCAGCAGCTGGCATGAGCTGCCGTGGGCTGCCATGAGTGGCCATGAGCAGCCGTCCCATGGCCGGCGACCGACTGCCTCAGCCGGGAAGAGCGCAATGATAATACCAACATGGCCCAGTGAAGCAACGTCCTCCACAACTAGACTGAAGAACAAAAGGACAGCAACTTGGTCTGTTCCCCTTTCCCCGATTCCCCAACACTGTTCCCCTCCCCCAATTCCCCAATAAAATCTTAAAAAAAAAATTAACAGAACTTTAATAACCCATGAAACAGCATCAGGCAATTAAACATACATGTATCAAGAGTCCCAGAGGAACTGGGAGTAAACCCAATGAGATCTATATAAAAATCTACTAGTGCTAATAAGAGAGTTTAGCTAGATTGTAGGATTCAAGATTAATATACAAAAATTGACTGCATTTCTATATCCTAGCAGTCAGATGTTGAAATAAAAACAATACCATTTAAAATAGCATAAAAAATAAGAAATACTTAGAAATAAATCTGACAAAGATGTAAAGATGTATACTAAAAACTACAAAACATTCCTGAGATAAATTTCAGAAGAATAAATAAATGGACATATATACCATATTCCAGGGCCATAAAACTCACTATCATTAAGATGTCAATTCTTCCCAAATTGACCTACAGATTCAATGCAACCCCAAATCAGAAGGATTTTTTTGGTGTGGAAATTGACAAGTTGATTCTAAAATACATATGAAGATGCAAAGGACCTAGAAGAGGCAAAACAACCAAGGAAAAAAAGAGAAAAAATTGGAGAACTTACACTACCTGATTTTCATATGTGTGCAAAATCAGGTCAGTGGAGTGAGTCTTTTCAACAAATATTGTTTGAACAATCAAATATCCCTGTAAGTAAGTCTCACTTAATGTTATTAATAGGTGACTATAAGCAAAATGACATATAATGAAACCAATTTTACCATAAGCTAATTGATATAAACAAGAATTAAATTCCTACATCATTTCATCGACATTATAATGAAACAACATTGAACAAAATGACATTATTTGAGGAACTGCTGTACATAAAAAATTAACTTGGAGCCATGATAGCACCATATAAAAAGTTAACTCAAAGTGGATCATAGACTTAAATGTAAAACCTAAAACTAGAACACTTCTAGGAAAACACAGAGGAGGAAACCTTACACAAGACCAAAAGCATAACCTATAAAATAGCTAATAAATAAATTGGACTTCATCAAAATTAAAAACTTCTGCTCTTTGAAAGACTCTATTAAGAGAGTAAAAAGACAAGCCACAGACTGAATGAAAATATTTGCAAAGCTATAGAGCTGGTTAAGAAATTGTATTCAGAATATGGAAAGAACTTTCAAAATTCAATAAGAAAAGAAATGACTCAATTTTTTTTTTAAGGGCAAAAGATTTGAACAGATACTTCACCAAAGATGTATGGATGGCAAATAAGCACATGAGAAGATGTTCAACATCATAGTTCATTAGGGATATGTGAATTAAAGCCACTATGTCCTATTAGAAAGACTAAGGTTTTATTCATAATAGCCAAAAACTAGAAACAACTCAAATGTTCATCAACAGGTTAATGGATATATAAAACGTGGTTTATCAATACAGAAATAATACTGAACAGTAAAAAAATGGGATTATTGATACATGCAAAAACATGGATGAATCTCAAAGTAATTATTCTGAGTGAAAGAAGCCAATAAAAAGAGATTCATATAAAAAGAACTTATAGGGCCGGCCGAGTGGCGCGATGGTTAAGAACTGGCTTGGGACGCCAGAGGGCCCCGGTTCAGATCCCACATATGAGGGCCAGTGACACTGGCGATGGCGTAGGCTGCAGCCCCTGTGGCAGTGGGTTGCCATGGGCTACCGTATGTAGCCAGCAGCCACAGTGAGCGGCCGTCCAGAAGCTAGTGACTGATCTGCCTCGCCCGGGAAGAGCGCAATGATGGTGCCAACTTGGGCCAGTGAAGTCCTCCAAAACGAGACTGCAACTTGTCTGTTCCCATCCCCCCAATTCCCCAATAAAAATCTTTAAAAAAAAAAAGAACTTATATAAAATTCTAGGAGATACAAAAATTAAAAAATTAAGATCAATGATGAGGAAGTCCTAGCCACAGCAATCAGACAAGAAAAGGAAATAAAAGGCATCCAAATTAGCAAGGAAGAAATAAAACTGTCATTATTTGTAGATGACATGATACTGTATAAGAGAACCCTAAAGATTCCACCAAAACAAAAGCAAAAAACCAAAAAACCTATCAAAACTGATAAATGAATTCAGTAAACTAGCAGGATACAAAATTAATATTCAGAAATCAGTTGCAATTTTATACACCAATAACATACTAGCAGAAAGAGAAATTAAGAAAACAATTCCATTTACAATTGCATTAAAAAATACCTAGGAATAAATTTAACCAAGGAGGTAAAAGACTTGTACTCAGAAAATTATAAGATGTTGAAGAAAGAAATTGTAGATACAAATAAATGGAAACATATATCATGCACATGGATAGGAAGAATTACATCATTGAAATGTCCATACTACCCAAAGCAACCAATAGATTTAATGCAAACCTTATCAAAATACCAAAGGCATTTTTCACAGAACTACAACAAACAATTCTAAAATTTATATGGAACCACAAAAGACCCTGAATAGCCAATGTAACCTTGAGAAAAAGAGAACAAAGCTGGAAGTATCATGCTACCTGGTATCAAACTATACTACAAGGCTGTAGTAATCAAAACAGCATGGTACTGGCATAAACACACACATAGATCAATGGAACAGAATACAGAGCCCAGAAATAAACCCATGTCTATATGGTCAATTAATCTATGACAAAAGCAGCAAGAATACACAATGGGGGCAAAGATAGTCTATTCAATAATTGGTGTTGGGAATACTAGACAGATGCATGCAAAAAAATGAAATTAGACCACCTTCTTACACCATATACAAGAATAAACTCAAAATAGATTAAAGACTTAAATGTAAGACCCTGAAACCATAAAACTCCCAGAAGAAAACATAGGCAGAAAACTCTCTGACATTGCTCTTAGTAATATTTTTTTCTGATATAGCTTCTTGGGCAAAGGAAATAAAAAGAAAAACTAAACAAATAAGGCTACATCAAACCAAAAAGTTTTTGTACATCAAAGGAAACCATCAACAAAATGCAAAGACAACCTACTGATTGGGAGAAAATATTCTCCAATGATATGGCTGATAAGAGGTTAATATCCAAAATTTATAAGAACTCATACAACTTAACACACATACTCGCAAAAAAAACCCAATCCAATTAAAAATTGGCAGAGGACCTGAATACATATTTCTCCAAAGAGGACATACAGATAGCCAATATATATATGAAAAGATGCTCAATGTCACTTATCATCAGAGATATGCAAATTAAAACCACCGTGAGATACCACCTCACACCTTTCAGAATGGCTACTATCAATAAATCAACAATGAGTGTTGGCAAGGATGTGGAGAAAAGGGAACCCTCATCATTGTTGGTGGGATTGCAAATTGGTGCAGCCCCTACGGAAAAGAATTTGGAGGTTCCTCAAAAAATTAAAAGTAAAAGTACTGTATGACCCAGCAATTCCACTTCTGGGTATTTATCTGAAGAAAACCAAAATAATAATTCAAAAAGATATATGCACTGCTATGTTTTTGTAGCATTATTTATAATAGCCAAGATATGGAAGCAACCTAAGTGCCCATCAATAGACAACTGGATAAAGAAGATGTGGTACATATATACAACGGAATATTACTTGGCCATAAAAAAAAATTAATTCTTACCATTTGCGGCAACATGAATGGACCTAATGGGTATTACGCTAAATGAAATAAGTCAGACAGAGAAAGACAAATACTATATGATTTCAGTTATATGTGGAATCAAAATAAATGAACAAACAAAAACGACTCATAGATACAGAGAATAGACTGATAGTTGGCAGAGGGAGGGGGTTGGGGGACTGGCTATAAAAGGTGAAGCTATTAAGAAGTACAAATTGGT